CTACTACCACTTCTTCTTCTACTTCTACTGCTGCTACTGCTACTGCTACTGCTACTACTACTACTACTACTACTACTACTACTAGCACTATTATGGCTTGTAGCACGAGTAGTTCTAGCAGTACTAATTGCTAGTGGTACTAGTTACTAGTACGCAAGTAGTTCTCAGTACTCGCAGGGGCGATAGCCATGGCTTCGAGATCGCACGAGACCTCTCCCAAAGCCCGCGGTGAAAAAACTGTGAGGCTTAAAGAAAGGAAACGGCAGCCTGCATGGTTACTGTAGGAATGGCCGGATGCATGTGAATCCTGGAACTAACCCAAGGCACTTGGCCCAAAATCGATCACACGAGCCAGAAATCCTCAAAAGAACTGGGCCCCACCGAACACGCAGCTAGGATACTCCGACAGCCTCAGCATGTCAATAACATCAGGGGGCCTCCACACACCAGGGTGTTTTTAACTACGGCCCATCTCGAATTTGCTGGCCGGTCTCGTGGCCAGAAGCTGACTCTGCTTCCAATTCGGCTTTCTCCTGGCCGCCCGGGCAGTTGGGTCTCAATACGCTCCAATAAGATTTGCGCACACCTGCAATGCATGCTTATACCGAAAACTCGGCGGTTTAGATGCGAAAACCTGAAACCACCTCAAGCTCTTCTTGGCAATTGAATGCTTCATCTGGGGAGATGTTGTGGCTACCACTGCTATATCTGCGTTGGTGTGTGTTGTTCTTCAGCTGCTCCAAAGTCTTACCCATAGTGGCCATCATCATCAAAATCATCGTTGCCATCACCATCCCACCACTTTGCACTTCACATGGCCGTTGTCTGTTTTTTGTCGATGCAGTGGTCGCGGTTGTGGAGAGCAGGTCGCAACCGAATCTGGTTCTGCAAGCTGATGCATGGTCACGGCATGGATGGTGGCCGAAGGGGCGTCGCTGCTAATAGTTGTGATGTGCTGAGGAAAATATTGGAGACAGCAGCGATGCGTCTGCGGGAATGATCATCAAAGAATCAAACACGACTGTGGGAAGGGTAGCGCTGATAACGGAAGTGGTGAGAATGATTATGATGGGGCTTGGGGGTGTCGATAAGGGGTACTCATGCTTGTGGCCAAGACCCTGATGAAGATGCTGAGCAAAGGGTGCGGGAGCATGCGGGTGCCTTCAGGAGCTCGGCGAGCTGTGCATCAACATCCTGCAGAACGGCTTCAGCTTCGCTCTTGTCATGAGTGAAGGGTCTCAGGCGGCATCCTCGGTGCTCCGATCCCGAAGTTGCTGGAGCTCCTGAAATCGTGGCTCAATGCTCTCACTCCAACCGTACAAGGCTTAGGAGCCGGTGATTGTGACCTGGGTCCTGTACGCCAGCAGTCTACCGACCATCCCCGACACCCACAGCGATTCATCCACAGGGCTAGAGCCGCACGAAACGGTCCGTGAGCAAAAAGTTCGTCGTGTTCAGGCGGCTCCGGAACCTGGAACCTAGAAAGCATGGTCGAATCGAATCAATGATAGTCGAAGAAGTTCGAAACAACATGTCCTTCTCCAGTGCTGCTTTGGACTCAACCTTCTTGATCTGAGCCATGCCAAGTCTCGGATGCAGCAAACACGCACGCCGACCGATACTGCTTGCCGTCTGCTGGGGGATTCTTGAGACCAGGGGCTCCGTTCAGAAGGTTGTTTGTCTACGTACCTAGGACCGCTTGTTTTTCTGAAGCTCCCTGCTGATTCAAGCTTCAATAGCCGATGCAGTAGCCCTGGACAAAGCGAGAATCCTGAACGTCTAAGCATCAAAAGCGTTGACGTCTGTTTGCTCGGGATTGGTCGAGTCTAGAGAGCCGCTGAGCATGGAAAGATGTCGTGCCATGCGGCGTCTCCCCCTGTTTCAGTCGCTCTTCAATGGCCGCGATGTCGGCGAGTTTCTTCTCCAAGCGCTCAATCCTTGTTCTGGGGCAGCTCGTCGGTTCCGGGCATGTGTCCGAGTTGGGTTCACGCAGCCGACGGCAATCTCCACTACAAGTTTGGCTCACGAATCAGAAGAACCATCAAGACAAAAGCCCGCGTGATCACGGACACCCAAACTCGGAGCCCGATTACAATCTTGTAAAGACATGGCACGACCTCGGGATTCCTGCAGGGGGCTCTCTCTCTGGCTGAGGCTAAAGGCTGCCAGGATGTTGAAGCAAAGGATCCGGTCCGAGCTGTCTGCAGGATCCTTGTTGCTGCTGGCCTCGTCCCCTTCCTTGCACCAGCAGACGGGAGCTCAGTTCCACAGACTCAGATATTGAACCTTTTGGCCGCTTGGCTTCTAGATGTAGAGGCGTGTCCGGAAAACTTGAACTTGTCTCGGTTGCATCGACAGGTGCCTGACCATGCCTGACCTGCTGGCATCCAGCTCAGCATCTCAAACCGCATAACACTATCCCGCCTGCAGTACCCGAGGGCCACTCCACAGAAGCTGCTACGAAAGTGTGTCGTCACCCTAGCTCACGCAGACGGCAGCAGGGTGGTCGGAGTTTAAGGTATGAGCAGCCTTTGTGCATAGCAAGCAGCCGGCTTTGCGCATGAAACAACATGTTTCTCATGTTGATGCAGGATCAGTTCTGTGGTTCAATCATACTCTGGCAGCCCGGCAGAACAGCAAAGCCATGACACAACCCTGCTAAAATTGAAAGCCGTTCCGAACCCACTCCAGAGCAGAACCCCTTGCGATACACCGGCGTACGGAACCTTCAGATTCCCATCGGCCTAGATGTCGAAGATAAATCAGATGATCCTTAAAAGCATTTGCATCTCGAACCATCTGAATTGGCGTCCACAGCATCTTCGAAATAGTGAGAACCCGCCGGCGATGCCGGTCTCGGGGATGAGGGCCTGTCCAGGGTTTTAGTTCGAAAGCTGCCGCTGGCGTTGGTGAGAGCCCAATCCATGACATGCTGTTGCAATGCCATCTTCATCTTTGGCATGCTGTACCTCCTTTGTTTCCCATCAGTACCGCTTTTGTTTCGGATCCCCACTTGTGTGTGTGTGTGTACATGGGCATGTCTGGACTTCCCCATATAAAGGACCTTTGTAACACCCTTATACCTCCCAGGTAGCATCCTAATTTTCTGCTGTCTCGCTGTTGTCACACCATGCAAGACTTCTTAATTCCTCGTCGGGCCCAGCTCTCGGAGATCTGCGAAAAACCCAAGCTGGAAACCTTGGGAACCCTCCATGAGTTCCTCAAGTCGCTCTTGCCCATGAAATGAACAAGGCACTAACAAGAGACAGAGAGAGAGAGAGA